ATCCCTGCGCACATGAAACACATTCAAACTGATAAAAATAATGCCACAGCATATTTGTATTTATTCCAGTAAAGACTGAAATCTAACATTGACTGAATGCATTCAAGGTTTTTCTTTCCAAATGTTTCACATCTGGACCTTATGAATAGTTTACATCATGTTTATTTATCTGAATCAGGCAAATCAAAACCTTCCAACTAATGAGCCAGATGTTTGACCTGAATGTGGGAATTGTGTACTGAAATGAAAAAAAGCTGGTAGTAGAAATCTAAATGCTGTGGTTTATTTGTATAAAACTGTAAACGATTCTGAAAAAAAAAGCTGTTTCCAATGCTCATTAATAAGATTAAATGTCTATAAATATTTGTTGGATTTATAGACAATGCAGCCACCCAATATTCTGCTGGAGGAATTAGATAAGAATATTAGACCTTAACTCAGCAGCTAAATTATCTCATAAACATTAAAGCTGGAATTGGACTTTTAGGTTCAGGTTTCTTCATTAGATGAGTGAGCATCTGGATCGAACCAGATGGTACAATCTGTGTTACAAACACATGCTTATTTCTGTGTCATTGACTCAGCGCAGCACAGACAGATGTGGACAAGTTTGCTTAAAGCAAGGGGAAAAGCTTTAAAACAGTACTTATAGCTGATCTTTGCTTTTCGTTTTTTGTTTAAATATATGGAAAAGAGATAACGTAAAGATGGAGGATTTGTTTGAGTTTGAGCAGTTCCACTGTTATATTTAATGCCTCTGCAGAAGACTGTAATACCTTATTTTATAACACTGAGGATTGCAAATATGTTATTTATTCAAGTAACTTTCTGACTTTCATAAAATATTGTTCTCTGAACACTCGCCCAAATGGCTGCAGGACAACAGATTAAATTGTGAATCGAGTTTAAATCCTGATCAAACGGTAAAGTCTGCACATATATGAATAAATTCACAAAACCTTCCACTGAAAATATCAGAATTTCCGAACAAAAATTATTTAACTGCAAGTAGAACATATATTTCAGTTAAAAATGGCCAACTTAACTCAGCTATTATGAAAGAATGAAACATGGTTGAAAACCATAATCGTTAAAATGCTGCAGCGATATCACGGTTCAGCATTGATTTAATGTTTGAGAAGCAAAGTTTTTCTTGAAGAATTTAAAATGTGGTCACATTAATTTTTATCCTATTTAGAGCCATTTTAATGTGTTCAAACCATTCATAATGCAAATCCAAGAGGTAAAAACAACATGTGGTAAATTAATATTTTATTATAATATTTGCTTAATTGGGGCTCCACTGCTGCCGTGCAGCAAGAAGGTTCGGGGTCGTTCTGCATGGAGCTTGCATGTTCTCCCTGAGCATGCATGGGTTCTCTCCGGGTACTCCGGCTTCCTCCCACAGTCCAAAAAAAACTGTTAGGTTAATTGGCTTCTCTAAAATGCTCTTTAGGTGTGAGTGTGTGTGTGAATGATTGTTTGTCCTGTTTTTCTACAGTATGTGTTGCACTGCGATAGACCCCGCCTCTTGCCCATTGGCAGCTGGTGATGGGCACCAGCACCCCTCACGACCCCAGCAGGGATAAGCAAGACAGAAAATGGATTGATGGATGTTTGCTTAATCAGAAATCAATAACCTCTTAGTTAAACGATTCTTAACCTTCAATGCTTATTTCTTAGGGAATATTTAAAAGTTAAGGTTCACCTAGTTTCTTTAAACTTGGCTTATAAAACAGGGGATCTGGTAGCTAGCAAACTTGGTTAAAGGGTCTCTTTTGGTCATATTCTGGCAATCAAATGTAGTATCGGGTAAACATAAATATTAACAGCCATACCATTGTTTAAACCCTTACTGAAATAAAGTTGTTTTTTTTTTTTTTAGTTCTTGTTATTGTTATTGTTAGTGTGCTTCAAACTAATTAAATAATGTTTGGCTTTTAAAGCTTTATCTGACTTTGCCAGACCTTCAAACTTCTTCTAAGCTCTGTCTTGGAAAGGTGAGGCATCTACTAAGGCAAGGCAAGGCAAGTTTATTTGTAAAGCAATATTCAGTACATGGACAATTCAAAGTGCTTTACATTAATTAAATAACAAAATAGAAGAAAAATAAAAGCACATAAAGATTAAAAAAAATGTAAAACAAGTATAACAATTGGACCATAACCTTAAATATCCTCATATAACTTAATGCCTCAGTTAACAGTTTAACGTCAACAGTCAAAGGCAGCTGTAAACAAATGGGTTTTTAACTTTTACTTAAAAGAATAATCAGGCTTTCAGCATTTTAAAACCTTCTGGGAGTTTCTTCCAGATAAGTGGAGCATAGGAACTAAATGCTTCTTCTCTATGTTTGGTTCTAGAGTATGCGTGAACTAGAAGACTTAAAGTCTATTATCTGAGCTACATGGAGCCAGTGGAAGGACTTCAGAACCAGGCTGATGTTCTCTTCTTTCTTAGTTCTAGTGAGAACATGAGCAGCAGCGTTTTAGATCAGCTGCAGCTGAGGCAGACCTTAGTGTGTGCATCTGCAGTCCTGTATGTTGGAAAGAGTGGTCAGAAGCACTGGAGCGCCTCAGGGGAATGTCCTCTCCCCCTTACTTTCATTTTATATTTTAAATGCTGCACAGAGACCTGCCACATGCAGAAATACTCTGATGACTCTGCAGTGGTTGTAGCTACGGGACAAGATATAAGGAGTAAAGGACAATGGTCTACAACTGTTTCAAATAGAGAGAGAAGCAAAATGAGATGAAGTCCTAAAAGCTGGTGGTTGGGATTATACCTTAAACACAAGCTGAACTGGACTAAAGATGTTGAGGCAGTCTATAAAAAGGGTTAAATATGTCTCTATTTATTGTAGAAAATAGACTGTAGGATGATAATGAGAGGTGAGCAGACATGTTCCCTTTTATCTGCTCTGTTAGGCAGCAGCCAGACAGTTCAGCACACGCATAGACTTTATGGATCATTAGGAAGTCGAGTCTAGGGCTAAAACATTTAACCAAATTATTTGATTACTGAAATAATCCTCAACTAATCTGGTGATCAAATCAAATTTTTACCTAGAGTCATGGTACACAGACTCTAAAACATTTGCTAAAAGAATAAATTACTTACAACTATAATTAAGACAGAACTCTGATAGAAACTCTAAACATTTATGAAGATGGGATAATTTTGTTTCTATTAAAGATTTTTTTTTGTCTTTATTCCAAATGTTAGCATATTTAGAAGTGGGTAGCATTGCTGCCTTGCAGCAAGATGTTTATAGGTTCGATTCCCGGCCTGGGGTCTTTCTGCATGGCTTTTGCATGTTCTCCCTGTGCATGTGTGGGTTCTCTCTGGGTACTCCAGTTTCCTCCCACAGTCCAAAAACATGACTGTTAGGTTAATTGGCTTCTCTAAATTATCCTTAGGTGTGAATAGTTGTTTGTCTCTCTGTGCTGCCCTGCGATGGACTGGTGACCTGTCCAGGGTGTCACTGCCTCTCACCTGTAGACAGGCACCAGTCTCTCTATCCATGGATGAATGGATTTACTAAAAGTGTTTCTTTTTAGATTAATTAAAAAAGTAATTCATAGATTAATAGTTTACTAAAATAATCTATAGGTGCAGCCCTAGTTGAGTCACATCCTTGGAGAACTGCTGGACTCTCTGACAGTGGTGTGAGAAAGAAAGATGTTCTCCAAAATAAAAGCTGTTCTGGATTTTTTTTAGCATCCTTTCCATAATGTGCTGCACAGTCTCAGCAGTTGTTTCAGCTACAGGCTATGATTTCCACGCAGCACGACAGCAACACAGCAGATAGTTCCTGCCTATGGCTTTTTGGCGCTTCTGTCCTATAAATTACACTTGAATACTAGGGCAAGCAAATAGGCTTCATGCCCAACTCCACCTGGATTTCAGCCAGTTCCTTTATTTCCGGTCTTTGATTACCGGGCAGACTGATCCAGGTGTGTCTGGCCGTAGTCGTCAGGTTACTGAGGTCAGACGCTCCTGGATTAATTAATCTGTCAAGTAATGACAGACAGGAAACAAAGCAGCTGGTTGAATTTCTGGGGATAGGGGAGTTGAGCATATAGCTAAATGTTGCATAATACTCTGTAATGTTAGTTTTTTTATTTATGATTATTTTAGACTTATATTTTTCTTTATTTAGTTAGTGGGTTTTACTATTTTTCACTGCTCTTTTAATTCTTCTACCCTGTTACAAAGTGAATGAGGAACAGTAAAGAAAATGTATCTGATATTTGAAAAAAAAGTTGTTCTATTTTAGCCTTTTCTGATCCAAACACCTTTTTCTGTGTTTTTTTCTGACTTGCGGCTAAATACAAGGTAAACTTCTGGTTAATTTGTTTCAAAAACATTTCTTTACAGTTTTCTATTCAGTTTAGATTAGAGGAGGGCACAATTAATATTAGCTGTCAATAAATTCTCCCACCTGAGCTGCAGCTCCTCCAGAGTTACTATCTGCCTCTCATCAGCTTCTCTACTCATCATTTTCACTTTAAAATCATTAACTACCTTGTGCTGGTCTGACTTATTAGGTTTTATTGAGACACGTATTAAAAGTTGAGATTTTAATATGATTAGACATAATGTGCTTATTGTGTCCAAATCAGACTTTTTTTCTTATCTGGATTTACCTCCATTTATGCAAAGAGTGTTTTGTTTAAGCTATAATAAATTTCTTGTTTTATTTCTGTTTTTTTCTCGGATGTATAACATAATTTTGCTTGTTTTATTCTGAAACCATTTATGTCTTCTTCCTGTTCTGCAGTTATCACTCCTTCATAGTATATCTCACACTTTGATCTTTTTGAACATGGGCATTGTTGCGAGTTCCGGTGGATTTATTTATATTTTTAATATTTGTCTGTTTTCCACACTGTGCTTTATTGATGCTGTGTTTCTCATATGCAAGCAGAGAGCCTTGACTAAACCATTGAATTTTATGTAGTTGTAATGTATCCTAATCATTTTAAATTTTTTTGCAGGTTAAAGATGAGCGCAAAGCCCAGGAAGTGTTTGACCTGGCTGATTACGAACGCTCAGAGGAGCTGAGGAAGGCGAAGAGTCGGAGCAAGAAAAACCACAGTCGCTTCACATTGCTGCGCTGCAAGCAGCGAGGAAATACAGTGAGTCCCCCTGCCTCCCCCACCCCCGCCTGTTGCCAGTTTAAAGCCACCTTTGCCCCCAGAAGAGACCAGTGAAATATGACATTTATTTGCTGTACAGTGTAACGTGGCACTTCCTCTACTGCAGTTGTTAATGAGAAAAGTCAGTCAGCTGTATAATTAAGAAATGTATGGGACTCATTTTAAAAGCAAAACTGATATTTCTTTTCAGTTTGATTATTAATTGTAAGGATTACAGATATTTAAGTTTTTATGAAACTAAAGCGAGCTCATATGACCATTAAAAAATTATTATTATTATTGCCTAAACAATAATTGGAAATACTGCTCAGACCATCACTGGTAGCCTCAAAAAGAAGTTTTAACTTAAATGGGCGCTGTCTCCAAGAACAATAAGGGGAAGTTGAGTGGAAGGAAAAAAAAAATACTTGTAGAGGCAATGATGCATTTTTTTCTCTTTTCACTCGGGGTAGGGTGCATGTGTTAGGCTGAGTTAAACTCAAAAAACCAGGTCGTCTGCATGTTTTATCATGACACACAGTGCCGCTGACAGGGTGGCTCTGATTGGTCAAATCTACATCCGCTCTACACTATGCGTATTTCCTGTTTGTTACTTTACCGGCTTGTTTGTATGACCGCCATTGTGGAAAACAACTCGTGAAGATGGAACAGCTAGAAGAGCGAGGTGGACGAAAAAGCTGGAACCCTTTTTCCACCTGGATCCCCGCTCTTTTTCACCCTCATGTCCCTGCGTTGTCGCATAAAATTTGCCCCCACTTCCTCATCGCCTCAGCTGTATCTAGACCCACAGCTAGTTCCTGATTGTCCCTCTTGTGTTGTGGCGTGGAATAGCATAGCGCAGACCACGCTCCGATATTGGGCATTAATCAAAAATATCTGCGACAAGCTCACTGCGACACGCTGATGCGGGGAGTATAACCAGCCCAGTAGAGGTATGCATGGATGTTTGTTGGTGGAGCTGTAAGTGGGTGTTGGCATGTGTCTGAAGCTGAATGATTGTCTAGTGAATCTCACCTGGATCTGCTCGGGGTAATTTTCCTTTGTTTGATAGAGTTTAAAGCCAATTAAGTAGTGATGGTAGAGATGTCCCGATCCAGGTTTTTGCACTTCCGATCCGATACCGATATTGTTTTTGGACTTCCGATCCGATACCGATACTGGCCGATACCAGCCTATCCGAGCATGTATTTAAGTTCAAGTTAAAGTATTTAGCCTTAGTTGTAAGACTCATGATGAAAAGGGTTTTAGTACTCTTGATAACATCTAGCCAGCTAAATTAGGTGAGATTGAATAAAACACAATGCTTGGTAACAACAAACTTACCTGTTTATTAAGAGATAAACACAAACTGGACAAAATTACGAATAGCAATCTGAAATTGCACAGTGAACAGTAAAACCGTAAACAGTTAAAGGTGCAAGTATTACTGTAAGTTTTAATAAAAATGCAAAACAGGGGAACACTGGCGAAAAATAGTGGAATGGATCGTTTCAATCGGCGAAACTGGAAAATACGGGCCGGATTTTTTTTTAAAAACTGGATTGGCATGACATGCTTTGCCGATACGCATTTTTTTGCCAATATCGGCGTCCCGATCCGATACGTGGATCGGATCGGGACAAGCCTAAGTGATGGTGCGATGAAGCCTCATGAGGCATTGAACCGTTTGGGCTAATTGCTTCAACGATCCCCACAGTGCTTGAAGCTTCATGTGAACATGTCACGCGCCTCGCGGAAACGCCCCCTCCACTACTTAGTTTTACACATCTCTAAGCCTCTGCTCATCTCATAACATCACTACTATTAAATCTGCAAGTCTGTCTTGTACAGTGCTTCCCAGAAAAAGGGTACAATAAACATCCCTAACTGCCGTAAAGCTTTATGTCCTCCTTGGATTCAGCGTGTCGAACAGATCCCTGCTCTCCTCTCCATTACTAATTTTTGGATGAGAGTCACTTATGCTACTAGACTGACTATAACTAATTATGAATTATCATTAATTATCATGGCATCAGAAACCAGCACACACAGCTGTGTTCAATATATGAGCTAAAAATGCTGCAGTCCTTGATGCTGCATTAATTCACTCCTAACTGAATTGTCAGAAGCCTCTTATTGAGGCTACAGAGAGAAAGTGCTGTGGTTTAAAATCCAGTTTTTAAATTTTATTACCGTAACTTTTGAATAATATTTGAAAATCAAAGGTCTGTGAAAAGAAAGGATAGTTGATGTTTAGTGGGATATTGATGGTTTGAGACTTCATGTTATACTGGTGTGTGAATCTATGAGTTTGACTGAATCTACTAAAATAATTAAGTTTTTTTCAAGGAACCTTTAAGATGTTTGTTATGCTAAATATGTTGGACTCTTATTCTTTAGGTTTTTATGGTTTCCATTTTTACATCAAATCTTTGAATGTTCTGACATTAGTTATTAAAAGTTACAGCATTTACAGGTTTTAAACTGATTAAAGAAGCTTTTTCCTTTTCCCAGCTTGATGATGCTCTAAGAGTTAGGTAAAACCCAAATCCAGCCGAGCGTGATTCAGACCGGGGAGGAGGCTTACTGGTCGCCATGTACAAGCAGCAGTGCTTTAATCAATCTGTTTTAGCTGAGCCGTTTCTTCCGCTCAGATTATCTATTGAAAAGGCTTATGAGAGAAATCCAAGGGTTTACTTGGTCTTTGGCTTCTACCCCCTGAGGAGACACTGTCACGATTTTTTAAAGTTCCAGCTGATGAATAAATAAAACACATCAGTGCTTCTGATTTTAGTGTTATTTAGTGAGCAGAGGATCCTTTCTGACTCAGGATGGATGGGGATTATTTTTTATCCATCCATCCATCCATCCATCCATCCATCCATCCATCCATCCATCCATCCATCCATACAACCTACTTACAAGAAGAACTGGGAAATCTGAAACTGTTACAGGAAATTCTGTATATACATGTCTTAAATAAGCAAATAATATAATAATATAAATAAGCAAACAAATAGTATTTTACTGTTTACAAGGATTCCCAATATCCTGCTTGAATATTGATGTTGTTAAACTAAATGTTTTCAGGTTTGCCTTCTCAATTTTTTTTTTTTTGTATTTTAAGGCTGATCTTGTTGCTGTAAATATATTTTTTCTATCTCTGTCTACTATTTTCACTAGAGTTTCATATTATCTATTCTAAACAGAACAGCCCTCTGCACATAGAGACATATTTTATAAAATTAAATCAACTATTTAGAAGAAAAAATAGCTTGTTTCTCCAACATGTTTGCTTTACAGTAAAAGGGAACCATGGTTGTTGCCTTCTGGCGAGAGCCCATTTATCTTTTCTAAGTCGTTGGTCCAGATGTGAATACTCTGAACTCTTCCTACAGTGCGTCCTTTCCGTGTGTCCTTGTTCATGTCCCTCTGTCCGCTGCTCCTGGAGATTATTCCGCCCCTGCTGTCCAACGTGGCCTGATCATTGGTGGATTTCCCCCTGACTTCCGAGTTAGGATTGGTGGCTCTGAATGAAAAGAGCCCTCCCACATGGCCTGAACAGCTCTGATTGGCCAAGCTCTGGTGTTTTCTTTACCCTCTATAAGGATTTAATCTGCAGAATCCCATTAGAGTTACGGCAGAATAATCCCTGAAACACTTTCCCATGCCAGTCTTCCTGCTTACTCTTTCTTACAGTCGAGCAAATCTGAACTGAAGCAGAGAAAACGTGACTGAAACGGCTTTCTCATGTGGATTATATCCACTTCGCCTCACAGATGATTATTTTCGTAGGTTTTCTATCTGATGTGGGGCAAGTTTTTTGTCACAATGACAAAAAATGTAAAATATCCAGTTTTAGATTGTTTATCATAACAGAAATAACATGAACATATAGAGTTGTAAATGTTTAGAAACAGATTATTGGGATTAATGATGAACAAAGAAAAAACTACAGGTGTTTAGGGGCTCCACATAAAGCAGATGAAGTGTCCACCTTTCTGTTTAGGCAGCTATTTAAACGCCAGTCCTTCAACACTTTAAATCAGCTGTGTGATCTGCTTATATTTGTGCTTAATTTAAATCTAACTTATACAGGCAGTATAAGACAAGAACAACAGATTCTTCTTTAAATATTGCAGTCGAACGCTGTAGTTTGTACTGCTGATTTAATAATGCTCTCAGAAATTAGGACAATTGTTTGTTTGGATTCTGAAGTTGGTTTTGGTGAAAAATCTTAGAGATTACCTCTAAATTATGACATGAATGGAAGCATATTAAATAAAATTAATATTTCGATTTTTGTACCGATTAAGAAAAACAATGTATTCAATGGGAAATGGTTTTGAAATTCCTTTTGACAAAACTATACTTTACAGGCTTAACATTTGTCTTGTTATACAACTTTTTCAAGGCATGTCGTCTTTTTTTAAACTTAAATAATAAACATGTGTTTACCCAAGATAGAATTATGCGTATGCTTTCAAGCTGAACATAGAATAATATAAAGCCAACTTTTACTCATTCTTTTAGTTTCCAGAAAAAAAAAATAAGTGCAAAATAATGATTTTTATTTAGGATAAGGCATGCGTCAAATATTAACAGAATCAAAACCAAGATCTTAGAAAAACTAAAACAACAAAAAAACAGTATTACCCCTCTGTGATTTATTTCTTTTTTTATATCCAGATTACATCTACCAACTCAATCATTACGTCTAAGCATCATTGTGTTGACCTCAGTGGTGGGAAATGTAAATTGCTTTGAAAGACGATAGCAAACATCTGCTAGTGCAGTTTTCTACAAATAGCGATATCCACGTAATTAACCCTGAATGTGTCTTCTATGATTTTTAGTGTCCAGATGTTTAAGAAAATCCATATTTTGAATGTATTTAAACTTTTGTACCACTCAGATCATTCTGAATTCACTTTTAGTTAAACAACCATATTTCTCTTATATTTAATTGGGAAAAACAATTGTGAATACAGCCTGTAAATGTATTTCAGATCCAATTTAATGGCTTGTTTTCTTTTTGCAGGTTCCTAATCTGGTGTTTTTGGCTGTGAGTCCGGAGGAGAAGGAGTCCTGGATCAACACCTTCAATGTGGCCATAATCAAGGCCAAGAACAGAGTTTTAGATGAGGTGTGATTTGGTTCGTTTGCAGGTTAATAAAGGTTTGAGGTTTGAGAAAAATGTAAGTCATTTCTAATGTGCCTTCAGGTGACGATTGAGGAGGACAGCGCTCTGGATCATCTCACCAGAGACCGAGCGAAGATTCCTCACAGCCGCCGTCTGCCCACCAGAGGACACCTCATGGCCGTGGTATAAAGGATCCTGTTTTCCTCCTTCCTGTTCTTCTGAATTAAGAGCTGGCTTCATGGGGTTTTCTCTCATACTTCACCGCAGGCCTCCACCTCCTCCCACGGCATGCTGACCCTCGACCTCGTCGCAGAGGAGGACGGGTTCTGTCTCGACTACGACGACGACGAATCCTGGGAGGACAGCTTCCGGGTCGACCTGCAGAAAGAGGGCTCTGGAGGAGGGCTGGGGGGCCGTCAACGGGCGGGGACTGATGTTTCAAAGCTGCGGGTGACTTCCAAAGAGCCCAAGGTGAAAACAGGAAGCCTACCTAGAGGCAGCGAGCGCTCCTGGGGTAAACACGCCCACATGGAGGCCTCCAAAGTCCACAAGAACCAGCAACTCCAGGTGAGACACTTCTAAGATAGTGTTGCTTGAAATCTGATATAAAAAACAAATAATATTTCCTGATACTTTTCTGTTTGCAGCAGCCTCCACATCCGGCCGTATGTTTTAGATTGTTTTCCTGTAAAGTTACCATCTGATGACCAAATTTTGTAATTATAAATAAAGCCACCAGTAGATACAGATACATAGATATGCTAGGGATGTCCATTTTCAATACCGTCGCTGTATTGACCTGATACCATATCAGCACGAATCATACGCACCTTTATCACTTAGTGTGGACTATTAAAAAGGCTTTATAAACAAAAGATCTGAGAACAAGTGACCCATGTATTATTAACTAATGGGACAAATCAACCTTTAACAGAAACAGTTTCTATTAGGGCTGGGTAAAAAAATGGATTTAATCGATTTTGGATCGATTCCTTTACATTTTTGCAAAATCGATGTGTAGGGAATGAGATCGATTCGTTTTATAGTGACATAAGCAGACGTGTGCAAATGCCGACCCTAGTAACACACCGCTCAGCAAGCTGTCCCAACTGAATTCTGATGTCTGGAACCATTTTGGATTTAAAACAACTAAAGATAATGTGCTGGATATGTGACATTATAGTGACTTCCCACTGCATTGATAATGAGTGGCACCTCACATCTCGTGCTACAGACCACCAAGATGACTTCTAGCTAGACAGCTGCAACTATAGCCAATAGGTGGACTGAAGACATTAACGAATGGGGGCTGACCAGCAAACACCCTGTAGTTGTACAGAAAACACTGCAAATATGGTTTGTGTAGCGAAGATTATGCAGCTCATGCGAGTGAGGTTTAACTTTTTCACTTTTCACAAACAAGTTTGCATTTTTGAGACAGTTTTGTTCACATCTCAGGTTTAAACTATCTGATTTACAAGTTTGCACTTTGTGTTTATTGTGACAGGAAAAAATAAAATACATGAGTATTTTAAAACACATTTGAAACAATTTCATTATTGTAAAAACGGATCAAATCGAAATTAATCGATTTGGAAATGTATTAATCAAAATCGAATTGATTCAGGACTTTGGCCAAAATACCCAGCCCTAGTTTCTGTTAGCTTCTATTAGATTTTATCTAATATTCTTGAGATGACATGATTTGACAACATCCTTTTTCTATCCATTGTTAATGTTTTGTGCCTTGAAGTGACCTGTCCAGGGTGGTTAATGCCAAAATATTCATTGACTTTAAAAAAAATAATTAAAAAAACCTGCTCTGGTCAGTTTCTAGCCAACAGATTTTTTTTCTCTTAATCTTCTTTTAAATAAAAAAAGTTACTGAATCACAGCATTTATAAAAATCAATGAGGCTTCCAACATCACAGATCCTCCAACGTGCCTAACAGTGGGCTGGAGAGTCTTTTCCAAATATTCATCCTTTGTTTCTTGTCAAATTCACCTGCAGAGGTTGCTGCTATCTAGATCAGTGACTAAAGCATCCAGCTAAAATCCCAGTAGGATTTAACAAAATTAACATCTTCAAATTTATTATGTTCATTCTTTTATTTGTTTTTTGTTTTTTTCCTCTGTGCCTTATGAACAAACAGTTGGAATGTAGAGTAGTTTAAATCAGTAGCTAATAGATATTTCCTTCTCTGGTTGGCTTAGATATCTTGTTCTCTTGTCTGTCCCATTTTGAAAGGATGAGTAAAAGAAATTTGATTGACCTAAATAAACTAAATTGATTTATTCATTACGAGAGGTTAGGGGGACCAATAACTGTGCCTTCGATGGTTCTGTTAAAAACAGTATTTTAGCATTTTCTCTATGAATTGATTTCCTCAACGGTTAGAAATAGCTGTTCAGTACGTTTATGATGCAGCTGCAGTAAATTAGAGATTTGTTTTAGGGCTTTGTGCACTGAATGTTGGAAAGCCTTTTAGGCAACCTGGAAACTTTTTTCTAATTCTGAATCAGAACCAGAGCTGATTCATCCTGAGTTGCTCCATTTGTTGGTTTATAAAGTGTAAAAAGTAATATTGTGCTTTTATGTCATTTTCTCTGTAACCAAAATTCATGTCCTTCTCCAATCCTCGTGTGCAACATTAAAACTGTGTTTCATTCATCTTCTAAACCAGACACTGTAGCATCTTTAAACAGAAACGTTTGTCATTTCCCCCCTTTTAGGTCCTTCAGGCGCAGTCTCGAACGCCCCAGCCAGGGAAAAGGTTCAGCATGCAGGGTCGGAGTCGTTGCGCCTCCATGGATGAAGTCCTCTCCTCCAGGTGCATCGACACAGACGAGAAATCCATATAATCTGACTGGAAAATGATGATTTATCATCTTTACTCTGCTATCTGAATGTGGAAGTGTACTGGAACACCCATCCTTGCATTTCCATTTGGTCCACCTTTATGGTCCTCCAGAGCAGAACTTCCCAAACGTTTTAGCCTATGATAACGGCTTGAGTGACTCATAACCCCTTTAAAATACATATAATCATTTTACTTTAAATCAGCATAAAGTGAAACTTAAAGTTATATTCAATTTAATTTATTTCAGAAACATTTATTTATTTTATTTCATCGTTTAAAAGGTATATTTAATAATTTAATAGGAAACTTAATTATTTACTAACCTATTAAATAAGTAAACGGTACATTTTATTATTTATAGCATGTTATTAATTTAATTTTGTCCCTTTTTACCCTCGATACCCCTTTGGGGTCACATCACAATGATTCCTAAAAAAAAAAAAAAGCATCAATTCCCCACCTGGTGTCTCCGGACCCCCTGGGGAGCGTCCGCATCCCCCACTCTGGGAACCCCTGGTCTGGAGGTTTTCTAAATCAGCCTTATCTGCACTAATGATGAATATTTAATCTGTCATAGAGGAAATTAGTGATTGTAAATCAAATTTAAGGATTTTTAAACAAGCACAATTTAAGAGTTTTTCAGATTTTCAAAATTTGAAGCAAATATATGAGAAAATATGAGAATCTAATCTGGAACTGGTAGTTCACCAGAGTAGAAAGCTTTACATCATGGAGCATCAAAGCCTGCCATTGATTTCTAATACGATCCTTGTTCCTGCTGTTGACTTTGGCCTCGTTTTGTTTGTAAATAGAAAGGGAACTGCTTTCCCCTCCTTCCTTATTTGAATCCTAACTGAGTCCCTTCTGTTTGGAGTTTGCATATTATAGTTTGCATTTGTTAGGATTGTCAGCAGTTATTCCAGTTTACTTTTGAGAGTCCAGCACCAAACGTTTGATTAGTTAGAGACTATAAAGTCTTTGTAGGTGAGCTTGTGCTTTGGCTTACCCTGCATGTTTTCTTTTTTCTCTTCCAGATAAAGATGCATATTATACATTATACTTACTATTGATTTAAGTCTGTTATTCTTCAGATTACTGGAGAAATCTCTGGCAAAATAAGAACACAGGAGAAAAATAGTACAAAAATATATTAATCCTTGATAAAATATTAAAACATTCAAGAAGCAACTTTTGTAGCATTTTCTGCTTTAAGTTGTAAGTCTTTTGTCATGTTTCTACCTTCTTTATACATGTAGACGCCTACATTTCTGTCCATTTTCTTGCTAAATAGCTCAGACTCAGTCTGATTGGTTCAAAGAGCTTCTCAAAAATGGATTTTGGATTTGTCCATTTTGAAGCGTGGATGAGCATTGATCGAAACAATATTTGGTGTTTCACATATTTTCTGTCCTTGCTCCTTGTGGAAAAAACATCCTGACTTTTTTTGATTGTGGCTTAAAGTTCAGATTTATTTTTGAGAAGATTCTTCCCCCTTTTAGCTGTAGCTCCTCTATCTGAGTAATGCTGCCTTTCTTTATCAGCCTAAATGTGAAACATAGAAATAGACCCTTTTTTTCTTTCTTCATACCTCTGCATTATCATCGAATAAAATTCTGATAAAATAAACAAAAAAGGAAACTGATTGACCTCTGAGCTCACAGCCTCTGATATGTTTTTGATTTAATAAATTTTCACTGATACTATTGAGCTCTCAGAGCTTTGAAAATGAAAGAAACACACTAATACTCCGGTAAACTTTCTTTCCAGACCGGCGATGATTCGGTCAGAGTTTCGTTCGGCTCTTCGTCGCTGTCCAACCGAAGAGGAGGCAGGCAGCGGGACCTCCATCCAGCCCGTCGGCCAGCTGCAGAGCCTCATCGCTCAGAGGATGCAGAGAGCCCAGGAGCTGCTGGAGGAAATGAGGCTGCAGGTCTGACGTCCTCAGAAACATCTGTAAACTAGATAACTCGGATTGTAAATTGTGAAATGGTGACTGGGAATGTTGCTGCTTATAGGAGCTACAGAAGGCCAAAGCTGAGCGAGAACGAGGAAGCAGCTCAACTCACATGAAGGGCATCAACTCCCCTCGACTTCACCACCTCAGGGGTTCAGATTCCCCCCATTCCAGGTTGGTTTCATCAGATTTTATTAACATAAAGTTGAAGTTTTTGCAGGAGCTTTGAGATCTCTGACAGGGTGGAAGGAGAATGCTCTGCAAAGATCAGTGTTTGATGTCTCTTTCTCGTCCACAGCAGGTCATCGGGGTCTCCGAGGAGCAGGAGCAGCGACTCGCCTCGTCTCCGGGGAAAAGATTCACCTCGTCTGAGGGGAAGAGAGTCTCCCCGATCCAAAGCTAAGAAGAACCGCTCCAAAGCCACTGACTCGCCTCGCTCCAGAGGATCTCAGTCTCCTGCAGCTAAAGCTGGCGACTCTCCTCGCCTGAAAGATTCTCCTCATCTGAGCCGCTCTCCTCAAACAAAGAGCTCTGACACAACAAAGCTCAAAGGTCCATTGGGGGCCAGCTCCACCAGAAAAGACGGTTCTCCTCCACAGAAGACTCCTGAAACTCCTCCGTGCTTGAATAGATCCAACTCCTGTCAGGTGAAAGGAAGCGATTCGCTGCAGGGCAGCGAAACTGACTCCCCCCTAGACAGCATCAAGGAGACTCGCCAAACTCAAAACTCCCCAGCTCTGTCCAGATCCTTCGATTCCTCGCTGCCCAAAACCCCAGACAAGCATCGCCTGTCTCCTCCTCCTCCTCTCGTACCTCTCGAGGAGGACATGGAGGTGGAGCGACGGCGCGCTGAGGCCGAGCGGCTCCTGGAGGAAGCTGTGTCGTCCTGGAAGGAGGCGCAGGAGGTCCTGCAGGAAGTGAAGGAGCTGCAGAGCCAGACGCTGAGGCGGCAGAGAAGGAGGACCTATGAGAAGATGACAACATCAGGTGCAGCAGCTTCACAGCCTGCAGCAACCGCAGCTGCGGACGAGGACGATACTCCTGCCTCCCCGACATCACCGGAGGACGACGATGAATCTGAGACACCCTGAAGAGCACGAACAGGTCCTCACGCTGGCATATATTTTCTTCTTTTTTCAAGGCAGCGTTACTCTGCATGCTTATGCACAAAAACCAACGTTTACACAATTTCTACATTTTTGATCCTATTTCTGGTAAGATTTGCTAATTTTTATTAATCAGGGCAATGGGATACATGTGATGACACATTTGGATAACTTCAAAAACCAGGGATATATTTAATTCCCGGAGATTTCAGGACTTCCATATTGCTGAGCGCTCCACGCTGCCACCAGGCAGAAACCCACTCTGCTGTCAGGGGTTCACCGTCTGTGGCAGGAGCTTCACATTTAACTTCAATCAACGCAGCTTTAATGGAGAGGAGCTCCCCTTCACCTTCTCTAGCGATGCTGTACGCTTTTCCTTTGATTCTTTGTGCAGAAAACAAGGAAAAATCTTCCAACCAAGATGTCAAAACTTTTTGTGAAAAAGTCAATGAAGAGCACAAAATGACATTTTTTTTTTAAAAAGAAACAAAATATTGACTTCAGATTTCTGCACTGAATTAACCAGCTTGTTTGCTGAAACATCTCTGAGTTTAGCTTGTAGCATGTCTGGTAAACTGCTGGACACGGTTTAGTTTGTAGCTTCATGAAGAATTAATCTGCTTCACTTTCCTTCCAAATTTGTATCAGTTTTTTTTATACAATCGCAGTCTTTTCAAGCTAACGCCAAAATCAGGGAGTTTAAGTTAAAAAGATGAGCAAAAAATAAATAAAAATGGAAGCAATAATTTATTATTTTGTTGTATGTAATTGTAGGCGGAAACAAAGCCTCACACCAGCTCAGATATGACAAACTCTGCACTATGAACTGAACTTTTTACAACAACATCACTGCATCCAATTTGTTTGGTTAAAGCTGTTTATTTGTTTGGTTAAAAACTGAAATCAGATTTGTTTTTTTACACAGATGCTGAATACTTTAAGGTCAAGTTTTCATCAAAGACCTCATAGAAACTTTTATATATTCTAAAGGATTGATTTGTATCTTTAAACCCATCAAAATATGCTTCAAAGATATGATCCATCATATAAAAGATCATCAGATTTGAATATGAAAGATAAACTAATTGAGTCAAAATGTTTTTTTTTTTAAACACTGATTTAATTTATTAAGGGGACAAAATATCCAAGCTAATCTGGCTGTGTGTGAAAACGTATCTGCTCCACCATTGCGGTGGAAATCTTGACATTTCTATTTTGATAAATTGCTTTAATTCAGGCCCATTGAAAGACAGTCCAGCATAAATGACTGTTTTTGTTTCATTTCACAAAATCTTAGTCAGATTTAGGCTTAAACTAATTTTGGAACCCTCGTGCCGTTCAGAGGCAGGCTTTCTGGTGTTTCTCACTGTTTGAGGTCACAAACTAATGGCTGGACTTTTTCCTTAAGGATTCACTGGTTTAGAGCTTCCATTAATTACAGCAAATTGGTCCCTAAGAACTAAAAAAAAGCCCCACACCATCATAGACAGTTTATTATTTTTTTTTATGATGAGGCAGTTTATGTTGCTTTTGTTTATACATCAACATTAATTGTTTCTATAATCTCGGATGACAGAGATGTTTCATGGTAAATATGGGGTAGGCCCTTGTGTTCTGTTTGGTTAGCAGTGGTTCTAGTTTTTTATTAAACTATAAAATGATCTGAAACGAGTTAGATCTGGAACGCTTTAGCCGTTACATCCTGGAGGAGTCATCAATGACCTTTTGGTGTCATTTTGCCTGTCACCCTGGGGGATGTTCACTATTGTTATTTTTGAATACTTGAATAGGCTGAATCCCAAACCACCCCCTAAGCACTACCCCTTAACTATTAATTATTAGTGTCACTCGCAATAAAATCACACAGCTGTGGAAGGCGCATGGATTGTACGTGGGGGGTATAAACATGAATGGGTCGGCCTCTTCCCTCCAATGGAAAGGGTAAGCAGTCGTTCCTATGGCAACACAGTGATGCCGCATGTGCGTGGCTGTAGCTCTGTGGCGCAGGTTAACATACTGTAACATCAGAGATTTGCCGGTTTTTTAAGAATAAATCTGTCCAGTAAAACAATGTGAAGATGCAGCAAATGAGTGAATCTTACATTTGAATTCACGTTTTTCCTCCGCCACTAGTTCGCCATTTCGCCCACTGCCAAATTCCTGCGAGCCTGCACTGATGTACTCGCTATTTAAGGACTGAACTGCCCACTTGCGCTACCCACTACGTGGTTTGGGACCATCCTTAACGCGGCAGACCCTCTGGTTAGTGTTTAGGGGCCAGTTTTCCTGTGGTTCACTGCAATCCCAGACCCTCAGACAGGCTCTGTAGATCCCATTCCAAGCTAATGTCTGCAACTTTTTTCTCTCATCATATATCTTTCAGCCTTCTTCATGTCATCACACTGGTTCTGTTCGATCAGTCTTGATTGTACAGACGTCTTTATGTATCTTGTAACTGAACTTAACAAAGGAGAAGGTACATTGTCCTAACAGTCCTAGGTAGCTTTGGCTAACATTTTCCCCTTAATATATAGAAATAATCCTTTCGAAATTTGTTTAAGGATCTGAAAAAATTAAGTGAAACAAAGACAGAAAAAAGCGGCATTTTCACATCACCATACATCTGACCCTACTGATTTAAATACACAAAACATTCAAAGCATTGCTGTGTTCCAAGTATGATGGATACTGTGTTTAAACATGCATGATTACATCTTAGACAGCGGTAATTTGTTGCAGCTGGTGAGATACATCCTTCATTGAAACGTATGACAAAATGAACGGTGTTGCAGCTGAGGAGGGCTGGGACAAATCTGACATTCATGGCTGGATAAACGTGCTTCACATATGACCTATTAAATTACCGAATTAACAGAAAGTTGAAATATACAAAGATAAGCTTCTAATAAAACTCATCCTGTTTTTTCTTTTATCGGCACTGATATCATCCATATAATGAGGTGCTTCCTGCTTAAGTGGGTGTGATTAAAAACACTCATTTAAAATCCTGTTTTAAAAAATGATGCAATTCATTCATGTTTTAAATAGATTTTTTAATTTATTTCTTGTGCTCTAAACTATGATTGTATTTGCCTTTTAACAGCTAATGTTTTCATCACTCTTGTAAGACGTACTAACATTGTAGCTTGCTTGTTCTTGTTTGACAAAGAAAGAATAATAACCCATAAAGGTCCCTTAAGTTAGACATAGTGCCATCTATTGGCTATAACGGGTTATTGCAACATATGCAACACCTATTTGGTTCCTACTGAGCTGTTAAATAGCATTAAAATGCTAACAAGATGCTAAGCTTTACCATATACATATAGACACATTAAACTGTATCAGGATCCTCTGATTATGCAATTCTAAACTACAAAAACAAACTATTCTTAGCTATTATTTTGCATATGGGCTTGAAAGGTTTTTTAAATGTTTCACAGTGGATCTTCGAGTACTTTTTTTTTGCATCAGAGGTAAAACTGTGGTGATGGTTTTCACCTTTTGTCTAAATATTTCTATTGCATTTAAAGACCCAATTACGTTCATTTTGTGCAATTTTTATAAACTTTTAAAGAAATAGAGGCCTTTGCAATTTGATAATTATAATTATATTTCAGTTTTTTTCTGAAAAATCTTTGGTCCATACTGCTTTTTTTAATCTTTTTTTTTTTAAATCTACATGAAAACTCTTAATAGAACCAAAAATACTGTAGTAGCTACTCCAGGCCTGCGTGGGGAGCTGTGATACGCCACAGGAACCCCCCAAAACAGAGAAGACGTAGCCCTGAGGCTAAAAGTACGGCTATGACATCATAATAAACAAAACTACATTAGTTATATCTTTGTTATAATCCATAGAAGATCTCAGATGCTTCATATTTTAATCTGTTTCTGAAAAATATTGCTTTAAAGTGCATCTCACAGACCCAAAAGTATAAAAAGAACTGCTTCATATTCAGCTTATAGGCTAAAGGGATTTCACCAGAAGCAGAGAATACAACTATTTACCATTACTTACATATTTAGTACTTGAAAATGTCAGTTTTCACTGTGGGGACATAAAGGATGTTGAGAGCTGCTAATGTTCTGTTAAGGTTTAATACCTTTGTAAAAAGTCACATTTTGTAATATAAACTTTCTTATTTTAGTTTGCCAGTGTTGCAATGTTTGATAAGTTTTTACTCTCCAGTTTGTGGGTTTTTGCACATTTGTCATAAATACTGAGAGCATGAATAAGAGCACCGGCGCTGACAGAGCTAAATCACATTATGGTTTGTTTGTACTGTGAGTGATAATGTCGAGAGGATGTGATGCAAATATATTAATTTGTAAATGATCTATCTGTTTAAGCACATTTTGAAAAAAAAAAAGCATTTCTAGTCAGAATCCAATGCTGTGATAACCGTTTCTGTAAAAATTATGAGTTATTGCATTTTGTTTGCTGACTTTACTTGACTTTAGATGTATTGTTGTTGTTTTTTTTGTGCATCGTTGGGGAAACCAAAACAAAACACTGCAGGTTTTCTATGTGAATCCTTTACAATATGGAGGAACTAAAGAGTCACTAAAAAAAATAAAACCAGCCATTTCAAATATTATTTAAAACATGCAATTTGAAATCCAATATCAAGAGTTTTCTAATTGAACAGTTTAAATTAAATTATTAAAGAGTTTATACATGTTTTTTTCAAATACTATTTCTAAATAGAGATTTAAAAACTAAAAATAAAGGGGACATAGAATGATTCTATAGGGTATTTGGTCCTTAAGGTCTGCATGTGGGTCACATTGGTTGGGCTGAAAATGGCATATTTGCTTTTCTATGAGCCCAAAAGCAAGCCTGATTAAAAGCCCTAGAATAAAACGACAGGTTGTCTTCCTTTTATGGTATGCTCATGAATATTTAGATGAGCTGTGCGCTGATTGGTTGGTTTACAACAAGAGAAGCTGCTGAGCAAAGATGCATCATAGCAACAAGCACTCACTCAAGCACTGGGTGGCCAGACGTCCTCTTTTTCCCAGACATGTCGACCAAAATTGTCCGGGATTTTGGTCGACTACAGTGAAGTAGAACCGAGTTGTCAGCTCCGGGGCTGGTCCGGGAACCCCGGCGGACAGGGGGAGGGAGCCTGGCTCCGGACCAGCACCGGAACTGATGGCTCAGTTCGAATGCCTTTTGGAAATTGGGTTTGAAAATACATTTCAAATTGCAGTATTCAATAATGGATCAAACTACATGATCTAAATATTAAATTTGAAATGGCTGGTTTTCTTTTTCAGTGACTCTCTAGGTCTTCCATACTGCAACCCACATTTAATGCAAATGCTAATAAGCTTAACTGCTGGAGACTCAAAGCAAGTTGATATGTCTCACCTTATCAGATGATTTTTATTTTTATTTTTTTGGATAAAAGACATTAGACTGATACTAGATGTGGATGTTGGTGTAAGTGTGTATCTTCCCATTAATTTGTATTCATTTACACAAATCCCGATCCCCAAAGGCTACAGAAGTTGCTGAATGAAATAAAAAAAAAAGACTGACATTTATTTAAATTGTGTCAAATTTAACTCCAGACTTTGAAAAGTCATGTTATGTTTTTATTGTGTTAAAAAGAAGTTGTATTACATTTAAGTATATGTTTTATACACCTATCATTTAAGGATATGGGGTCAAATACACACCTGATCGTACCTAAGGACAATTTAGATTGATTCACTAATTAATGGACTTGGTTTTCTGTATTTTGTTCTGAAACATCTATTTTGATTATTATAAAGCTCTAAGTGCCAAAAATGTCCACATGATTATGACCAAGGATGTTTTCACATTCCCAAATATCTAATTCTAATTGAATGCAAAGATTCATTTTCAACATCTGACCCTTTAGCAATGAGCAGTGAGGTTAGGTAGGGATGGACCAATACCAGTCAGATCCCTGATATGTGCTGCTGATTTTTTTAGGCCAGTTTTTAAAGCCAATATTGTTATTTCTTTCTTCCGTATTTGCTTGATAAAAAAAAACAACAACATAACAAATCATATAAGACATTAACAATGGATGGCAGATGCAGGAAGAATCACTTTATGTGCTTCACAGGCATGCACTGATAGCACGACACGGCAAAAACCCTGATGAAAGGCGCTATTCTCTCCTCATTATCACATAATTTAACTCCAGATGGTGTCATAAAGTCGCAGCAAAGACACGATTCTGCAAATGAGCAACTTCCTGCAGCAAGGAAACCCAAATTTGTGTTAAAAGTCTTTGGTATTGTTGCTTAATAAATCTTACTGCAGCTCAACTACAAGAAAATACAGAGATGCTAATCCAAACATACACGATACATGCAGAACATTATTTCTCTACAACCCAAACAATTAGTAACTGAAAAGCATTAAAGCATGTCATGTGTGCAGACACAGCATGCAACCAAGGTTACCAACACCTGGAATCAGATTTTAATAATTATTTCAAAGCTTAAGGGTAACTAATTGCAAAAGAAAAGTTTAGCATAAAAAAAAAAAAACACTGATAGTGCTTTTTTTTTAAAAAGTCATCTTTTTTGGGAACTTTCTGTACCCATTAGCTTGTTGAATCCTCATTATATGACTTCTCGTCATCAACACAAACGCTCACAGCGAGACCCAGAATGGTTTTGCTGAAGAGATGAGCAGATGTAGGGCAGGACAAAGAGCAACGCTCCATTACGCAGATTCACCTCGATCTACAACACACAACAACGCTCCCCTCTGATGCATCAGTGTGTGTGTGAGAGGGGTTGATCATGTATGCATGTGTGAGCATTTCTTGATGACTAATCTGCTTCCATTATGCGTGCCGTACTTGTGTGTCGCCGCAGGAAACACAGAGAACAAGAAAAGCAGACCCACCTTAAAGAAACAGTCTGCCAGCTCTCAGGAAACATCCTCCTTCTCTGTGCCACTGCTCATCTGCATGGGACAACATTTTACAGGATCAATGAACTGTGAATAAAGTGCTTAGTGAGCTTTTTAAGCAGATTCACAGCACTTCATGGGGATTTAACACAGTTCTGCAGCAGCAAGAGGGTCTCTCCCATTAATTAAAGCCTGCTTTTACTTTTCAGATCATATTTAAATGATATTAGAGGAAATTTTTTTTTTTTTCTTCAAGAAGGATGTTTGACCTGACATTCACATAGCTGGTTCTTTTAGAGGTAGGTAGTGGTAGGTAGGCACCGAATCGATCCTGAAAATCAATAACAGTTGCGCAAACAGGACCCCCTTCAATAGCTGCTTCTTGAAGGACACTAGGAGCAACTCAAAAATCACGAAAACAGAGACTGAGATTATCAACCTGATACCCCTGCAAACACACCAAGACTTCGTCTGCTTGCTAAAGCCATTTTGCTCCCATGTGAGGAGCCTGCCCAAAGTATATAGACTGGTTTGCCATTTATCCTTCTCTAGCGTGCCAACAAGCTGCAGTTACCAGGGTACATAAAGCTCTCAGAGGTTATAAATATTTATAATGGCTTTCAACTTTTTATAGAGCTCTGTGCAGAATGAGGAAACTTTAAAAGTAGACAATATGATTTGAGTTTATCCTTTATTAGGATTTTGATCTAAGGGCTAATGGAAACAAAGATTAACTGAGAAATTATTACAGAGTCTGCAGAGCAGTACTAAAGTAGAAACTCTGCTTTAGTGTCTTGGAGGGATTTTCTGTGATTTATTTAGACAATAAAGGGCACCGTTGGGAAGTGGAAGCAAAGGGATGCATACTTTTTAAATGGTGTTGGTGTTGTTTTCTTTAAGCCTTTGGATTTAGAGCAGGCATGGGTAATTCCAGTTTATGAGGGTCGGTATCCTGCAACTTTTAGATGTGCCTTTGGTTGTGTCTTTGGAGGAACTGGCTGCATACTGAGAAGTTAAGTCAGCCATTTGCTTCACTTTCTTCCAAATGTTGGCTCAGTGTTTTACCTACAGGTAAATTGAAAACAAAACCTCTTAAGGATTATAAATCGCATGAATAAAACTTTCCCTTTGGACAGATTATGGCACCCGAGCTGTGATTGTCTGTGTCATAATGGGCTATAAAGATCTGACCCACATGCAGAGAACCACTGAGAGACCAAGGGTAAAAGTAAAACAGGTATATTGTAGGTTAGCAAACACTGACGGAGATTGAAACTCTGTGGGGAAACAATGCTGGAACTCAGCGGACTAGTGAACCAGAACCAGAAACTCAGTTCAGGGACAATGGGAAAATAGACTGAGGCTTGAACGTTGCTGGAGAGGCAATCACTTTTGGGGGACTCTTGGTTTATCCTTGGATCCAGTGTGGGGGGATTTAATCCAGAAATGAGGGAACTCGTTGGGGAGCGGACAGGCAGACATACGTTGGACCCAGAGGAGTAAAGGAGCAGACTGTCACTTGATTTTCCAGGAGTGAACGTATCGTGGAGGTTTTCCCCTTGCTCAGTGAGACTCAGTAAATCCTTCCAGGGGTAGAAGGTCCAAGCTAATCCAGTAACACAGGAAGTCTTCCTGCCGAAAAACAAAGACAAAAACAAGTTCAGACTCAGAGAAACAAATGCTAAGGTTAGACTCTGCTAATCTCAGTTTGGCTAGAGTACCCTATACTGGCAAACACTCTGGAATCGAGGTGGTGACAGCCCGCTGCTCAAGTACTCCTCTGGTAATTACCCAATGAGCCGCAGGTGTGCAGGGAGGCCCAACGAGGACAGGGCACCGCCTGGTGGAGGAGAGAGGAAAACACAAAAAACAACCCACACAAACTGGAATCCGAACAGTCTGCAGCTCCCCCAGAGCTGCTATGGAACTCCTGCCATGTCTTGGTTGGTTTATAGCTCCATCACACAGCAAAATATCTGGAAAATTGTTTTATAATTAACTTTGCTTCAAACTTTTCATCGTAGATGACTTTCACAAACAACAATCTAAAACCGAGTAGATATTGTCAGTCTTTTAAAATAACAGACATAAATAATTTTTCCTTGCAAAGTTGTTAATTTATTTCATTTCTATATCTAATAAAAAAACATTGATGTTTGTTATTTTGATGCAATAACATGCTGAAATTTAAAAGACTCTTCAAACTTTTTAAAGGGCACATGGTTTGGATTTTGATTGGTGTTCAGTTTGAATTAGGTTTTTGCAACAACAACAAAAATTTCTGGTTCTCTTATACAGAATCTATGGAGTCCGAGTTAGAGATTATACCCTTAAAAGTGCCACACCCCTCCCTGTAAACCATGAACTTCGTTAGCTGTGACGAACCAGTGATGCAACAGTATCTCCTACTCCTAGAAACCAGAGGATTGGTTTGGTTATAATTTCATGAATAGAGTTACATGTTTGATTTGCAGACTGAACAGGTGCTAAAGCTTTGTGAAGCCACCTGGTTCCCCTGTTTGTTCCTAACCAGGGTTATTTACTGGGAGACACAGAGGCTGATTCATGTTCACATGGAAGCTGATTAAATTATTTACACCGATTCTCTCTGTGTGATTCCCACTCTCACTCTGAAGCTTCGTTTTTCTGTCAGTGGGAGTGGGGGAAGGGTACGGAGATGTTATTACATGTTTTATTAACATGTGCAGACATTAACACACTCTAAGGCCCGGTGTTCCAGGTCAGTGTTACAGTTTGTTCCCAGTTAAAGCACGGAGGATTACGGAGGGAGGATGGGGGGATGGTAGCTCCGTGACTCAGAGCCCTGCAGCGTCTGTTCAAAGCTTCGACCTCGTTTATTTCTCTCAGTCTCACCCTTTCCCCCCCCAATGTTCTTTCCTTTTTTAATCCCCAGTTCCCTTTAGTGGTATTATCCCTCTTTCCTTACCTTTAGTAACCTTTCCTATTTTAAAGCACTTTTGCACTAGTGTCTCCTTTTCAGAAGAACAGACTCAGATGCTGATGCAGGTGCATCTCCATGCACCATTGAATGAAGCTGCTGCACGT